AAAAATTCTCAGCTTGTGTTGAAAGGAAAAATTAGAAATTTCTTTAAAAAAAAAAAAAAAAGAAAAACTATAAATACAATTGACAATATTTGCAAATTTAAAAAAAAAAACCAAACAAAGCAACAAATTAATTTTTGTGTTTGTTTGTTACATTTTTAAATCTTAATAACGTACATTTCTACAGAACTAGACATTCAAATGCCCAACTAATTTCCTCAACAAAACGAAACAATACATACATATTCTAGTCATTTGATTGTATTACAGGAGACACTAAACTTACTGATTTTGGTTTGCATCTCTTGTATCAAATTATCTAAATGTTAAAGTAAATGAAAAAAAGACAAATATGTTTTGGAGTTTACATTTGTGAATGAGGAAAATCCAAGCTACTGTTGTGATTAAAATCTTGCATAAAGTATTCATTTTAAACAAATAAAAAATTGCACAGACCAACGGTTTTTGCTACACATGTAATCATGTCTTTCCCCGTCATAACGGCTCGGTTAGGGGGTGGGGGTGTGGGGGGTGTGGGGGGGGTAAACATTGAACTGTCGAGTGGGTCCATGGGCCCTGCAACCCCTCCAACCCTGGCAAACCCTCCAACCCTGGCAAACCTTTCAACTCTGGCAAACCCTTCAACCCTGGCAAACCCTTCAACTCTGGCTAACCCTTCAACTCTGGCAAACCCTTCAAACCTGGCAAACCCTTCAACTCTGGCAAACCCTTCAACTCTGGCAAACCCTTCAACCCTGGCAAACCCTTCAACTCTGGCAAACCCTTCAACTCTGGCAAACCCTTCAACTCTGGCAAACCCTTCAACCCTGGCAAACCCTTCAACTCTGGCAAACCCCTTCAACCCTGGCAAACCCCTTCAACCCTGGCAAACCCCTCCAATCCCTCCAACCCCTCCAACCCAGGCAACCCCTCCAACCCATGAGTGTGCAGACGACCTGTTATATTTTAGGATTCCAAAGTTCTTTGACGTCCACAACTAAAAAAATAGGAAAGGGGGGGGATACCTCACACGGTCCCGACGCCTACCTCAAACGGTCCCGACGCTTACCTCAAACGGTCCCGACGCTTACCTCAAACGGTCCCGACGCCTACCTCAAACGGTCCCGACGCGTACCTCAAACGGTCCCGACGCTTACCTCAAACGGTCCCGGCCCTTACCTCAAACGGTCCCGACGCTTACCTCAAACGGTTTCGATGCAAACGTGGACAGGTGGAAATTGAGCAAGGGTTCCACAAATTTAAAAGAGGAAACGAGAGTTGGGACGGAGACCATGAACACTTTCCCAAATGAGCTCACGACTGGCGAAATAAAAAAAGAAAATTAACACTTGCTATTATTTTATCAATCGGCAAATAGTTAAGAAACTCAAATTGTAATTTTATTTTCAAAAACTGAAATATAACTTTTTATTATTTTTTTTTCTTTTTTTTAAAAAAAGAAATGGTGGTATTAAAACGATACTGTTTAACTCAAATTAGTGATTTTAATTTTAAAAATAAATAAATTACCAAACATACTTAATACTAAAATTTAAAAAAAAAAAAAAAAAAAAAAAAAAAAAATAACAAAAAAAAAAAAATACAAAAAATAAAAAAAAAAAAAAAAAAAAAAAACACTTTGATGAATATAGCTTTATCTCATGATAAATCTTTGATAGATCGAGTCGTCTGACGTTAACATTGCTGAGCTAAAACGGACTGTGCCACGTGATTCTATTTTTTAATAACCCTAATAAAATTCAAAACAATTCAAAACCCAAACTTAAGAAAAAAAACAAGAGGGTTGTAATGTTATTACTGCAAACATTGACTCTCTTGTCAACAGAGCAACACGGGGAGGACTGGGCTCAGGTTGTGGCAATGAGACACATACAAAGGGTAAAAATGCCACCTGAGAAAGTACAGTACAAGAAGGGGGTGGGGGGTCGGACAAAAAAGCCTTGGACGGCAAAGACGCAACAGAGACAAACACTCCCAGCTTGTTGTATGGAGATGTAGTCTACAGGAAAGAGACAAATATTCTCATCTTGTTGTGTGGATATGTGGTCTACAGGACAGAGACAAACATCATCGGCTTGTTGTGTGGATATGTAGTCTACAAGACAGAGACAAACATCATCGGCTTGGTGTGTGGATATGTGGTCTACAAGACAGAGACAAACATCATCGGCTTGTTGTGTGGATATGTGGTCTACAAGACAGAGACAAACATCATCGGCTTGGTATGTGGATATGTAGTCTACAAGACAGAGACAAACATCATCGGCTTGTTGTGTGGAGATGTGGTCTACAAGACAGAGACAAACATCATCGGCTTGTTGTGTGGATATGTAGTCTACAAGACAGAGACAAACATCATCGGCTTGGTGTGTGGATATGTAGTCTACAAGACAGAGACAAACATTCTCAGCTTGTGTTGACAGGAAAAGTTAGACATTTCTTTAAAAAAAAAAAAAAAAAAAAAATTAAAAAAAAAATTAAAAAAATTTCAAAATTAAAAAAAAAAAAAAAAAAAAAAAGAAAAA